GTTCCCCTTGACAATTTTTGTCCAGTCGTGTTCGACTCTAGGGGGTGGTGCTCATCCCCGTTTCCAAGCCGTAGAGCCAGCGTTTTTGTCCAAAGACAATCTTCCGTGGTCACATGGCCAGTGCGACTTAGACACGGAACGCTGTTACCTTCCCACGAAGGTGGTCCCTATTTATCTACTTGCATTTGCATGCTTTCGAACCGCTAGGTTGGCGGTAGCTGGGACAAGCGACGTGCGCTCACTCCGTCACGTGGATTCGATCTTACGACTGCTTGGTCTTCTGACCCTGCAGCACAGGCTTCTGCGGTTTAGCCCGCAGCGCCACCACGTCCCTCTAGGGACTAGGCTAGGATGATGCAAAAGCATCTCTCCCCCTCCCAGTTCAGAAGCAGATGCTCTTAAACTCCACCAACATTCATGGCTCAGGTATATGCTTAACCAATGCATGATAGCTTTTACCTTCCAAATTCTCTTGAATTTTCAGGGGTTGGCAATTTAGATGAGCAAGAACCAGCATGCAAGAAATATGTTAAATTAGTGTGCTGTGTTCTTGTAATGTTGAGACAGAGTTAGCTTTGAAAGCTGCTGGTAAAATCTGTTGGGTATAACTTTGCAACCTTGTGCTTCAGTGATCGAGCACTATTAGTGGTTGAATTCATCCATTTTCCTGAAGTGAGAGTATGATCACATTTTGTAGATGTAATCTGAATTTCTCTTATAACAGCAGAGAGACCAAGGATAACGAAACACAAAGTCTAGCTGGGCATAGACTTTCGTTTGCTTTTGATAAACAGCAGAGATACCATCCTCCTGAAAACTTGTGTGGTTGCATCGTCTACGCATATATGTACAATTACAGTAGAAACCGGGTGTGGGCACATGTGGGGTTCTCCCCAACGTTCCTCTGCCATTCATTGTCTTTTAGATCTTCTGTTGTAGAACAGAAAGATCAAGTGTATGGAAGCACTTACTGAGCTTCCATAATCAGGAAGGGTTATAATGCTGGCTTCCATGTTCACCGTGTGAGCATGCAAACAGCACTCAAGCATGTGTAAACCTGGGCAAGGGGGCATGGAGATAGCTTGCTCACAACCCTGAGTTGTGTAGACTAATGCCGAAATAGGGTTGAGGTCTCATAGCCTATTTAATTGAAATGGGAGATGGGGATTGTATCAGAGGTGATAAATTCTCTGTAGAGTGGCAAGATGTTGAAAGAAGGTGGATGTCGGCACTGGACTGGATCCATACTAAGGCTGTATACTGTGCACTTTTACCTGGGAGTGAGCACCTTTGGATCCATCTGCAGGATTACCCTTGCACATTGTTGAATTGCCCAGCAGCGCATGTAGTGATGTGGATTAGAGGGAGAGATACATGGGTAGGTAGTCGGGTAGACCTGGGTGTTTCTTGACTCTTGGCTTTCCTAAAAGTATGTGCAGAGTCGTACTTTTGGGCCGATGCTGTTCTTTCTCTGAAGACACTCCCTGTTGATCTCCTAGGAACACCTGGTTTCTGTGATGGCTCTCTGTGGAGACAAAGACACATGAAAGGCAGACTTAGGGGCTTCTATAATTAAGTTCAGGATTCTTTTCCTCCTCTTCTATCCGTGATGAGCAGCACCTCCATTAAAGGGATTGGCACTGCATCTGTAATAGTGAAACTAAGTACTGAGTGCTGACGGGACTGGGACCCAAACAGCATCTCTGCATCCAGCCTGATCTTTTGTCTGTTTCCACGTGAAGCAGGGCTTGTGTTCTTGCACACCTTATTTTTTTCACTCCTACCAACGTGAGCCAGCTCTCCCTGTGCTCGATTTCTAGATAGGGTGGTGTGCCATTGCTTGCTACGTGGTCTCAGCTGTATATGGCTTAGTTGCAGGTGCTCAGAGCGAGGAAGATACACACTCAGAGGTACATACTGTACTTGCTTTACTTATGTCAGTACTCTGTTGATGAGCATTAGCACAGAAGGCAGGCTCTGAGCTTCGTAACCAACAATAGCAGAATTGTTCATTCTGATATACGAAAATACAGATTCAAATGAGCCAGGAAAGAACTCTTTAAGGTGTGATCTGATCCCTCTCTGAGATGTTTGAACAGGGTGGGTCTGCAGAAAAGACCGAAATTCAATTAGATGCCACATAATTCCTTTCTCCTTAATATAAATATTGGGAAATTCTGTTATAGAAAGACAGGGACAGATGCATTACAGAGAGGACGCTGCTGTGAAAGGCAGATTTTGGATTCTCTCGGAGAGCCGCATTAAGCAGCTTTGATAATGATTTGGGAAACTTTCATAGCTACACAATATCTAATGGTATTTTTATTGGCATACAGAGTGCCTTTGATTCACGCAGCTTCATTTAGTTCACTTTTAATCAATAAGCACACTTTTAGAAAGTGTGATTCTGAGTCACGGTGGTGTCTTATGCAATATGGAGAAATGGCTCTTTTGGTTTTGTTCTGGCCTAATTATGGATGGTTAATGAGGCCTGTTGATTATTCTGAGCTCTTGAAAAGGGAGCAGTGTGCTTTCTTTCCTATCGTGAAAAAGAAGGAAATGTACCAGTGTTGCCACCCATATGGAAAGGACAAAAGAGATCTGTACAAAAAATGTCCATATGCTGATTTATAGCTATGATTTGTATAGATTTATAGCGATAAAGACAAGTTGAGTAAAAATCATTAGCCTAGGAAGATGCTAACACCTGATGAGTCTTCTTTCTCCTGGCTCTTCAAATTAGACATGGACTTGATAGTTTTTCAGACAGAGGATTCCTTCACACCACAGACTGTGTCCTGGTAGGTTTTACTGTGTGACACATGTCCACCCTGAATTAGAGAAGTAATCTACTGCCATACTATGTATTTTGCCTGGGAGTGTTTGTACAATTGACCGCGAGGAGCCGTCAGCTGGAGTGTTTTGAGGGTGTTAAGCAGAGTGGTATGGCAACGTTCTGTTTCTTTCTGTAAGATCAACTTACGAAAGTTGCTTTATACTGAACTAAATCTCCTCTCCATCTTAATTTGAGGGGCCTGGAATGGAACGCTGGTTCTTGCTATTTGACAGATTTTACAGTCTAGAAAAGGTCGGCTTCTTGTGTTGTATTTCTGCATTTTCCAAAGTCTCAAATTGTCAGCCATGTAGTCTGTAAGGCATCATAAATTTATTCATTGCTTCCTTTTAAAAAACCCATCTACCAGAATCTTGTTAGTTAACACCTGTTGGCATGACGTGGTCGGTGTAAATCCAAGTGTACACAGTAGCAAATGCCTCTATTAATGTCTTAACTTCCAGCAATTTGCCACTAGAAGTTGCGCAGTTAAAGTTATTCCAGTGTAAATACTTAAGAAGGCTCCAGGGATGCCTTTTCATGGAAGTTACTAAGGCGGAATATAACAAATGAAAGTAAAAAAACACGAATGCCATAAAAGAGGAAAGAGAAACCTCATATGCTGGGGTTAAATCCAAACCTCTCGGGACCTGTGGGGTTTCCCATATTGCTGTGCTTCCTTCCCTTTAGTTACATCATTTGATGTTTTCTGAGCATTTTTTATTAGCCCCCTGCTCCGTAGTTACAGTTCGAAAGCCTTAATTGATAGCATTAAGAGCTTTTAAGCTAGAATGCAATGATATTTTTGGTTCCTCTCTTTGGCTCTTTCCTTTACTGGAATGCTATCTCTGAGAATTTCTCTGCATTTGTTACGTTTTCCATAAAAACATAAAATCTGGCAATAAAACCATTCCGAAACATTAAGACAGTTCGGGTGGGGAAAAAAATCCTGCTTTGTCAGAACACAAGGAACAGCTGTTCCTCTGGCAAGTTTATGGTGGCTTTCTGGAGGTCTGTTTTCTTCTTTTGTACTTCCCACTAAAGGGAGAGTGTGCTGCTTTGAGTTCAGGTCCCTAAGCATGTGCGGTCCTTGGTGTGTAACAAACCTTTGGGCGTTTAAAAATGCTCGCTCTTAAGGAAGTTGAGAGTTCATGGAGATGGAAGAGATCTGGCTATTTGTTTGAGGGTAGCTTTTTGCTCTTGAAGAGGCAGGCCATCATGCTCATCTTTATTGATGAAGTGACCTATGTGGATTTCTCTTCTTGGGCACCGACTAGAACTTAAAAGGTTTAACTACGGATACAATTTCATCAGAAGTTTCCTTTATAAGGAGGTGTTGGAAATAACTGCCCTTTGATGACATACTTTTAAAGGTATTTGGATAGTGTACAACTGGCTTGCGAAAGATGAAGCAGGCCACGAGCACCCCTTTTCAGGTTGTTTGCCAGCCCCTTTTCAAAGGACCAGGGTTTATGGACAAAGAAGGCTTTGACCCATGCCACGAGGTTTGGGTGGGATTCAGAGTAGTGTTTCTGAGTACAACTAAATGGAAGTGTATTTTTTTTCTAAAAATAAACTCTTAAAATAATTCTGTGCATGCAAATTTCACAATATGGTTGTAGCCAGTTTTGTCATTCCCATTGTTTTATATTAGTAGTGATGGTGGTGATGATGATGACTGTGTTGCCACGACAAAGAGATAGAGTACTTATACAGCTGTGAGGGTTCGGTGTGTGTGTGGGGCCAACTCTGGCTCATTCAAAAGGAATGCTTCAGACGCGGATTGCTTTTCTAATCAAGGAACATGTATTGTGCTCTTAACAAATAAACCAGTGTCTTTAATTGCATCTGAGTTCTTATCTCCTTCAGCCAATGTGGCCAACAGCCATTTCCAATCATCCGTAACAAATTAGAAACTTATTATAAGTGGTGTTCTAGGGTCCTGGGAGTAATGCTCATACAATCTATTGAGAAGTGCATTGGTTGAAGTATTTATTAGTTACACCTGTTGTATAGCATATAAATTTAGATCCATTTGATGGACACAGCCAGTATCTAAACATGCTTGTCATACTACATTTACCTCCCAGTTGCTGTCAAAGAAACGTCAGGTTGGTATTTGGCAGCAAGGGTAATTTTGTCTCTTTTGTGCTTCTTTCTTCCAGGTATGAATGCTGCAGTCCGTGCAGTAGTGCGCATGGGGATCTACGTGGAAGCCAAAGTCTATTTTATCTATGAGGTTGGTGTTCTTCATTATATACATATTCTGTTGCTGTGCCTCAAACATTCCCAAGAAGAAAGATTCCCCTGATAAACTGAGAGGTGAAGAATAAAGCTATAGGGATAAACTGGCCAATGTTCCCATTGTCTGTGTTTCCTACAGCACTGTGCCCCTTGAGTGCAAGTATAAAAAACCTAGTAAGGATCAACAAGTCATGGCAGGAGGAAAAGACATAAGAGGGTAAGACATAGAAGGAGGGAAAGAAGGTCAGTTCCTGCATCCCTCTCCCATCATTCCTCCCAAGTGGTAGATCCTCCTTCTCCTGACCTGTCTGTAGTCATTCGAGATGGGGATATTCATATTGGTATACAAATATGAATATCCCCATCTCAGCTGGACCTAATGAGGATCTGGCCTCTGGGATGGGACCATCCACTCACACATCCTGCCATGGCGAGGGTCCCACTCATCCTGCCAGCTCCACTGTCTTCTTGCTCATCTGGCTGCTCAGCAGCCATGCGGGACCTTCACTGCGGCAGGACGCACAAGTGGATGGTCTGCTCCCAGGTGCCGTACCCTCATTAGGTTCAGCTGTAAACAAACAGTAAACAAAAGCAATGCCAAAATATCATCTTTTCCATGTATAAGATGATAAGTAAAGGTTCCCCTTGACATTTAGTCCAGTTGTGTCCGACTCTAGGGCGCGGTGCACATCCCTGTCTCCAAGCCGTAGAGCCAGTGTTTGTCCATAGACAGTTTCCATGTTCACGTGGCCAGCGTGACTAGGGAACGCCGTTTTACCTTCCCATCAAGGTGGTACCTATTTATCTACTCACATTTTACATGCTTTGGAACTGCCAGGTTGGCAGGAGCTGGAACAAGCGATGGGAGCTCACTCCACCATGTGGATTCGATCTTACGATTGCTGGTCTTCTGACCCTGCAGCACAGAGGCTTCTGTGGTTTATTTCGCAGTGCCACCACATCCCATTGGGTACACAAGAATAATTTGATGGGACAGGTAGTAGCAGGACATTCAACCAGTTTCAGCTTAGAACTGAGAGGGGAAGAACATGTGTTTTCTCAGGCAAATGTGTACTTCAGAGAAGCTATTTCGACTGTCCATTCCCTGCCCCACCAACCTAGACTATAATTGCTTGCATATCTCATGTACCCCATAGCCCTTTTAAATAGGTTTCTGGGAAACAGGGAAAGTAAGGCTTTGTCTGAACTCAATACTTTGTTCTACAGACCTGCCACATTGTTTGTACCCTGTGTAGTATTCTTATGTGTATCATTGGAAGTATCTCGTTTGAGTGTATGTTGCATGCACGGTATGATAACAAACCTTCCTGCAGATTTGTATGCAGAAACTGTATCCCATTGTACTTGTGAAGTCTGTAAACTAATGAAACTTCCGGCTCTGATCACACTGCATCAGAATGGATGCTAATCTAGAGATGTAAAACACATCAGGAAGCATTTTTGTTTGTTTTTTCCTTTCCTCCTTTTCCTTCCCATTGACCCAAATGTTGTCTGACTCATTCTTTGTTCATTGCAAGCCTATGTCTGTCTACTCCACTAACGCATTGGTCAAAGAACATGAATATGCAAACACCGTGCTCCACACAGTCCTTTGTTACATTAAGTATTCATTTCCTGTGTCATGGCAGACATGGGATTTCTCTTTTTCTCTCAAGCATTTTGCCATGTTTGCTGGAGAGAAGGTGAATGCTTTCTGGGGCCTTTTGTTCCCTTTTTCTCCACTAGAATGCAAAACAGCGTTTCCTCAGAAATAGCTCTTAAATCAGTTTTCTGCATGCAGCACTTCCTCCATGGTCTCGGTCGGTTCCTTGTAAGGCTCACTACAGAGTTTGAATTAAACCAAGACCGGAGTGCCGAAACCTTTGCTTGCTTTGGTGAATTCCTGAGTGGAAACCAAGGCAGAGGGCCTTTCAAGTCTCTGTTCTCCATTGTGACCACCATTAGAGCACTTGGCAGAAGCTTCTTGTGTTCATGCTATGCAGTGTTGACGAAACGAGACGCTTGCAAAGGAAGGGATTTGGTCATGTCTCAACTGCTGCTCATGCTGTCATCATCATTTAGTCATGTCCGACTCTTCCTGACCCCATGGATAAGAGCATGCCAGGCCCTCCTGTCTTCTACTGCCTTCTGGAGTTGGGTCAAATTCGGTCGCTTCAGTGACACTGTCCATCCACCTCATCCTCTGTTGTCCCCTTCTCCTTTTGCCTTCACACTTTCCCAACATCAGGGTCTTTTCCAGGGAGGCTTCTCTTCTCATGAGATGGCCAAAGTATTGGAGCCTCAGCTTCAGGATCTGTCCTTCCAGTGAGCACTCAGGGTTGATTTCCTTCAAAATGGATAGGTTTGTTCTCCTTGCAGTCCAGGGGACTCTCAAGAGCTGTAAGCGTTTTTAAAGACGAAGTTAAGATGCTTGTCTCTCAACTCGCGTAGAGATGGTGTTCTGATGAATTCTGCTGGGGCAAGACAGATACCGTGAGCAGAAGAAGTGACCAGTTGTCTATTCTTGTTTTATAGCATGGCTTTAATGAGGTTCTCTGCTGAAGCTCCATTTTTCTCTGGAGTGTATATAGGAAATGGACAAAGTAACACTGGTTCATTGGTAAAGGAATGAGACTATCAGGATGTGTATAATTAATATCTAATCAAGGATTCCTAACGCATTAGCAAGCATGAAATCCTACATTGACCCCCCGTAATTTGCCACTTATGTCAGCAATGCTATCATTATCTTGTACAGTCATTGATGAATAATTGAAATTACCCTTACATGGTCCTAGGGCTATGTATAAATCTGACAGTCATACAGTCTTGCTCTAATGTCTGAGGAAGTGGACTGGATCTATGAAAGTTCACATTAAAGTATAGTTGTTATTAAGGTGTCATTAAGGGGGCGTTTTTGGCTCTTGTTTCCTTGTTTGTTTGATAGGTTAAAACGCTTAATATTTCTGCAATGGCGGAGCATGAGTGTACTATCCTTAGTCATTCCTTTTTGAATTTAATTTATTAATATTGTTGAAACAGGTTTGACTAACAATATAGTCTTCTGCAGGACTCTTTAACAGACTTTACTGTCCAGTAAAGGGTCCATAGCACAGCTACTCTACCGTACAATACTTTGATTCTTGCTCCTTCTGTATAGAATCCACTGGTACAGTTAAAGGTGCTGAAACTGATGTATTCTTTGGCTGCCATTAACGTATTTCTCTCGTCATCTTGATTTTGCTATTTTCCCGCCCCATCTCTCCACTAGAATTTTACTTGCTGCTCCCTGAGGCTGTGGGAAAGCAGCCTTTCTATATCACTGTTTGGAGCTGAGATAGCAGAGTTCTACCAACATTAACTTAGAACATGCTTACTTAATTTTGCATTTAGAAATTTAGATCAGTCATGGATCTCATAATGGATCTGACTCGGTTTAGCATAAAACTACTGACATGGAAACATATTTAGCAGAGTTTGCTATCTCAACACGTGTTTATTTTTCCAAAGGGGAAAAAAATGTAAGCCGTTTCTTTGAATTTTATGTTTTGGTCTTTCAGTATCTTCAAAGAAATATGTCTTTCATTGATGTAAGCCACCTTGAGTCCTTTTTAAGGAGAAAGGTCGGGTAAAAATATATTAAATAAATAAAATAATAATAAAATACTTTAAAGTAGGACGTTGCACTAGAAAACCATGATGAAGGAACTATTAGTAACCTTCTAGGTATAGTTTTGGAAGAGGTGGCCGTGTTACTCTGTGTAAGAAGACTTAACTGCTCAGACCTGGTAGCTGTTTTCTGTCATCTTGAAGATTTTTTACAACAGGACCTAAAACAAGCATAGGCCTAATTACCAATGGACGTAACCACATGTAACCAACGGACATTTAGAATGTGAAACTGGTATTTCATCTCCATTCAATTCCATTCTGTTTCTTTATGTCTGATGAAGTGGACATGTTCACTAGAGCTTACATTAAAATATAAGAGCCTTTAGGGTGCCACATGTTATATTTTGCTTTGTTTCTTTGGATTTCTCCTTATCAGTATAGTTGTCCTATTCTAATTCCCCAAATCCAGGCAGCCTCATTTGCATATTGGGCACATTCCTATTCAGATAGGATGATGGGCTTGCAAAGGGATAACCAGCCACTTCCTTCCCCAATGTCCAGTTTCTCCTTCGGAAATATTCTTGTCAGTTTTGCTTCACAGGTGCAAGAGAGGTGATTGGGTTTTCTTAATTTTCTCCCCCCATGTAATTTGGGGTGCACAACTGTGACAATGGAGCACATATGCCCACTCTGATTTTTTGGGGGGAACCCCCATGACCCCTGATTTTTGCCATTTCTACCACTTTTTGTGGGTCATTTCTACCACTTCTTATAGGGCACGTGTGTCTTCTAGAATTGCAGAAGATGCAGCTATTAAACAAATAAAGTTTTTCCAGGGAATGGGTGTCTGAGAAAGTTGGAGGCATCAAAACAGAAGCTTCAGTGAATTTGCCATGGAGGTTAACCAAAGACATGTGAAGCCCGTTTCAGAGCAAGGGAAAATTTCAGACCCAGACTTTCCTGCCATCGAAAATGTGTAAAGAACTGATTTAAAAAACAAACAAACAAAGAGAGAAAATGCTCTTATTGCAAACCTGCAGAATGAGCAAGGCGCAACACCCCCTGTGCAGGCGAGTGAGCATCAACAAAAACTGTTACAAACACCCTTTCGGAGCAGAAATTTCCAGGCTCGGAGGGCTGTAGCGTGGCTCAGGCACAGGGGGGTCCAGGCAGATCAAACCAGTTACAAAAACATTTTTAAAAATGGACAGGGTAATAAAAACTGCAAAGCCCCTGCCCCCACAGTCATTGTGCAGCAGGATTTAATATTCCTTGATTGCACCTACGTTTAGCTCCCTATCCGCATCCCCTCTGAAAAGCGAGGAAGATCATGTATCTCTGCCTCAGAATTAGGATGGCTGGAAGAATTACTGAGCTAATGTA